AATAATCATAATAATAATAATAATAATAATAATAATAATAACAAACGCGGGCCCTGAGCTCCGGGCGGAGTCACCTTAAAGTCCTAATCCAGGATTACCAGGGATGTCTCCAAGCCTGTGACACCGCTTTCCTTCCAAACCCAAAGAGAAGGAAGAGACGAGGCCGGGAGAGAGCCGCCTCCTTCCCGCGCGCGGAGAGAACCGGTTCTAGAACTCGACTCCAGCCCCCGGCCACGCCCGCCAACCTGCCAGCCCACCTCACAGGCAAAACGGGTCAGTCACGCCCCACACTAAAGACCCCGCACTCACTGTCGCCATCTTGACTCCGCCCACCACGCGCAACCGGAAGTAAGCGTTGCCCAGGAGACAGGCAAACGGAAGGAGGGGATGGAGAGCGTAGTCGGGGGAAGCCTGCGCAGGGCAGGAAGTAGATCGCCGATCGGAAGGATGCAGCGTGGAAGTGGAGCGACTTCGGTTGTGGGTCAGAGCAGGGTTTACAAAATGCCGGTCCCAGGCTGTGGGGTTCCGATGCTGCATCGCAGAGCACCTGCCCTGCTCTCACTCCAAGCTGCTTTCTTCGGAGAATCTTGTTTTGATTTAGAAACAAAGTCGTGTAGGGGCTGGGGATTTAGCTCAGCGGCACAGCGCCTGCCTGGCAAGCTCAAGGTCGTGAGTTCGATTCCCGGTACCAGAGAAAAAAAACAAACCAAAAAAAAAAAAAAAATAGAAACAAAGTCGTGAGTTATCAGAAGGAATCTGGCCTTACGATGAAGCGCCACCAAGCTTAGGCCTGCCATCCTGCAAAGGAGTAAACTAGATTTAGAAAGTGATTGCAACCGTAGATAATAAACACATCTTCTGCGTTCACTGGCCTAACCACACAGCATACTTCAGGTATCTAACCTTACTCAGCAGGTCAGTGAGTTAATGCTTATTCTGTCCCACTGGAAAAATGTATCGGCTTTAGAATCATACATGATTCAGCCAGGCGTGGTGGCGCATGCCTGTAATCCCAGCACTCGGGAGGCTGAGGCAGGAGGATCACTGAGAGTTCCATGCCAACCTGGGCTACAAAGTGAACTCAAGACCAGCTTGAACTACATAGCAAGACCCTGTCTCAAAAAGACCAAAAAAAAAAAAAAAAGAAAAGAAAAGAAAAAAACATAGAATCATACATGATTTCTCAGGTCATTGCATGACCTGAGCCAAGTCATTTCTCTGAGCCTCATTCTGGTGCCCAGAACTAAGGAATGAACAAAGCAGACTGGATCTCTGCACTCCGAACAACGACCTTAGAGGGGAGCGAGTCAGCGATTGAATTACAACGTTTATGAAGAAACATCTCACTAAATATAAATGGCTCTTAAACATCTGAAACTAAAACTGCAAGGAAGAAAAAAACTTGCACATCCATATTTCCAGGAGATACTTTCCATCTCTTAGGTTGGCAAAAGACGAAAATTTTCCCGGAGAGAGTTGTAATTGGACACATGCATTCTTCGTCACTAGTGGGAATGTGACGTGATAAAGCTCCTTTAAAAGCAGTTTGCCAATAACTAGCAAATTTAAAATGCACATAACTTCGCCAAGCTTGGGGGATCATGCCTAGAGTCTGAGGCAGGAGGATCGAGGTCACCCTGGACTACAGTAAACTAAAGGCCAGCCTGAACCACACAGCGAGACCCCGTCTCAAAAAAAAAAAAAAAAAGAGAAAGCACGTAACCTTTAACTCAATTATTTCAATTATAGGAATTTATTCTGTAGATATAGATGTGGGAAACTGCTTAACATATACAGATATACAATGCAGCATTGTTTGCAATAAACCAAAGCCTGAAAGCGACCTAAAGACCCAACAATAGAAGTAAAATAAATTATGGCAAGTTGATACTATATGGCACATGAAAAATAAAGAGGCAACTATTTACATATAGATAAGAATTGCCAGGATACATAATTAACAGATAAACACAAAGTGCAGGAAAATGCATATACTATGTTAATAAAAGAGACAAAATAAAGAAGAACATTATGTACATAATTACTTGTGTGCTCCGAAGATATTTCTGGAAAGCATTCGGAATACTAAAAGTGGTTACTTATAAAGAGGAGAACGAGGGCTCGGGCTCGGGATATAGCTCAGCAGCACAGCCCTTGCCTGGCAAGTGTGAGGTCATGAGTTCAAGAGAACTAGGTATCAGGTACAAAGGAGTAGAAAGCTTTGTACTCCATATCTTTTGTACATTTTGTATTTTATATTATGTGGATGTACTGCCTATGCCAACAGGGAAGAAAAATAACATTAAAAGTACGGCATAACAATCATTAGAATGGTGATGAATGCTGAGGAGGAGAAACATTGGCTGCTAAGAGCAAACAGCAGGGGAATCCATCTAGACTTGATGGGCTAGGAAAGTCTTTGCCAGGGCAACTGACATTGTTATAAAAAGATAGGCCACTGGCTTGGGGGAGGGGATGAAGAAGTGTTCAGGCCTGGGGGGATTCTAAGGCAGGTGAAAAAGATGTGCACAGGCCCTGAGAATTGAAGAAGCTTGACCCGTTCACAGCACAGAAAGAAGACAAGTTCTGCTGGAAAAATGGAGCGGACAAGGGGTGTTGGCCGGAGGTGGAGAAGTTGGAGTGTAGTGGTACAGATCCACAAAGGCAACCAGGGGTTTTATTGTAAGGGCATTTGGGAAGGCACTAGAGAGTTTTGAGCAAAGAACAATTCATGTTATCTAGAGAACAGAGAATGAATTGGGAGAGTGAAAAGAATTGGTCTTTTTTTTTTTTTTTTTTTTTTGGCTTTTGGAGACAGGGTCTCGCTATGTAGTACAGGCTAGCCTTGAGCTCATTGTGTAGACTAGGTGGCCTCGAACTCAAAACACACGTCCTGCCTCAGCCTCCTGAATGCTGGAGTGACAGGCATGCACCAACCACCACAGGTGACCTAAGAATTAATAATCTAGGGGAGATGAAAGGACACTGCAAACACAAGGAGAGGAAACCACCTGGACCAGAGAGATGCCAGAAGAAACGCAGGAAAAGTGAATGGATTTTCGAGAAATTTAGGCAAAAGGACAAACCTCATACAGGTTACAGAATTCGATGTGGGATGCACAAAGGGAAGCATCTGTCGAAGGAATCTAACCCGAAAAGCAAGGGGTGATACAGCCCGTTTCTAAACTGGAGAGCTTCAGGGAAGAAAGAAGGAGTTCTCTGATGGGAAAAGGGTAGGAGACCTCCTAGGCATTCAGCACATGGAGGCCCGGATGTGGAGTCTCTCCCTTGACCCTGCATCTCGGGAGGAAGACGGAGCCCTTCCTGTGCTAGGGCCTTTTTCCTAAGAAAGTGCAGGTTTCCCAAATTGCACCTTCCAGACCTACTGTGCCTTTTTCAGACAATTAGAAAAATCTCACATGAAAATTCCTAGAAAATGGTACAGAGTGTGTTTCTCATGTCACAAGTGAGTCTTCATTTTCCCTAGAAAACTTTGAATGTGTGACTCTGTTCTCAGGCTACTTCAAATCCTACCGTTGTGCAAGAAGACATTCTGAACAGTACATATTTATTTTTAGGGTAGGAGTTGAAGCAGGAGAGGAATCAGGTATCAGGCTTTTTTTGTTTTTTGTTTTTTGAGACAGGGTCTTATTATGTAGTTTTGAACTCATTGGGTAACTTAGGCTGGCCTCAAACTCATGGTGATCCTCCTGCCTCAGCCTCAGCCTCCTGAGTGCTGGGATTTCAGGCATGGGACACCACGCCCAGCTTACATCAATAACTTTTAAACATCTACAGTAATAGCTTAAAGGATAATCTACAACTGAGTTTCTCCAATTTAAGGTTTTATTGCGTCGTTTTGACTTTGTTAGGGTCTACAGCCAAGTTGGTTTGGATGCCACCTACTGGACAAATCCAGCATCTCCTGCCCTTTCAAGGTGTGTCCATCCAGTCTTCCCCAAACCCACTCTACAAACTGAGAGTGCAGCCAAGACTTTAGGAAACCCCACTTTACAATAGTATAAAAAGCTGGGTGTGGTGGTGGTGGCACACACCTGTAATACCAGCACTGAGAAGGCTGATGTAGGAGGATCACTACCAGTTTGAGACCAGCCTGGGCTATGCAGTTCAAGGCCAGCCTGAACTACATAGTGAGACTCTGTCTCAGAATAATATTATTGGGGCTGGGGATTTAGCTCAGTGGCACAGCGCCTGCCTGGCAAGCTTGAGGTCATGAGTTCGATTTCCAGTACAGAAAAAAAAAAAAAGAAAACCAAAAAAAAGAATAATATTATTCACAAGCCTTCATGGAGCATTTTTTATTTTTTTATTTTATATTTTTGTTGTTGTTTTTTTCCGGTACCGGGAATCGAACTCACGACTTTGCACTTGCCAGGGAGGTGCTGTGCAGCTGAGCTAAATACCCAGCCCCCTTCATGGAGCATTTTAAAGATATTTACTCCTGATACAACAAAGATAAAGTGACCAATGGTGAATGTGGGCAAAGGTGTGCATATATATATATACTTCTGAGAAGGATATCTGGAAATAACACCCAAGCACTGTTTACATAAACCAAAGTCCATTCGTACTAAGACATGTTGTGTAGCTTTTGAATGTCTTCAAGTGGTAAAATAGCTGTGTGGAACAAAGGAAAATACAGTAGGCCTCTGTTTGTGTCTAAAAAAATTAGGGAGAGAGATATTTACAGATTTTATAGACACAATTTTGAGAAGATGTCACAAATCTAGTAAAGATTTGTCTCTGGAGAGAACAGAAGGACTAGGGAATGCTAAGGGAAGGGAAGATGTTGCTTTTCCTTATTTACAACTCTATAAAATTTAATTTCTGTGTATTTTTTTAATTTTAAAAAGTAGTTAATAAAAAATATATATTGAGCTCACTTTGTAGGCCAGGCTGGCCTCGAACCCACAACGATCCTCCTCCCTCAGCCTCCAGAGTGCTGGGATTACAGGCATGCGCCACCACGCCCAGCTCGCCCCCACGCCCCGGCTATAAAATATTTAAATAAGACCATTAAAAAAACAAAAACAAAAAAACACTCCAGTTCCTGGATTTGTGTGTAGAAAGTCATGATAGTCCAGCTCCCACTCTGACAAATAACAACAACAAAAAGCTAGTTAAGCTAGAAAATCAAAGCAATATTTTTAACTCCTTGGAAAACAGGAGTCAAAGTAAACCCAGTTTGGGAATACGCCACTTCCTTCCCAAGAGAAAAGAGACCTGTGGCTGCTCATATTCCCATTGACCCATACTGGGAAGAGGAAGCCACCAGCTGGAGTAAAGAGAAACTTGCTGAAATGTGACAGTCTCTACAGCCCCGTAGAGGATCAACTGACAGCAA